AAGAATCCTGCATCTTATTTGTTATAAGGAGAACGGCTTTGTTTCCTGAATCTGTCACCTGCTCATTTTGGTTTTTGCATGACTTTCTCTTATACTAGAATTAGGACAAATTATTCCTTGTTTGCCTTATGCATGCCTTATTATGTAATTTTAGTATTATATTAGCATATAGTGTTATACAATTTTATTATATTCTCTCTGTCATCTCTTCCAGACTGACAAGACTTATTTAATTGTTTCTCAGTTAGAAACCATCCCATAAGTCTTGTCACCCTTGTTGTTTTCCTCTGAGCTTTTTCTAATTCTACCTTATTTTTTGATTTTGTTGATGTTCTGATTTTATTGATCCTCCCACAGTGAGCTGAATTACCTTTCTGTTTCCTTTGAAACCTGGATACAAAAAAAAAACTATTTGGAGTTTGCCTTGTGTACTTCTCGTTTGTAATCTGGTGTCTGCCTGATGCGAAAAGGGCAGTCAGTACTGCCAACTTCCACTATTCTCTGACACATGCTTTGTATGGAGTCCTGGGAAGATGCCTACGCACTGACTTTAGGAGAATGATTTATGCCACGTAGCTCAAGTCATGCTAATGCACTTCTATAATCTTTTTTTTATTTCAATCTTGATTGGAGTTTATATATGTATACTTCCAATTTACTCTCCTAAGCCACCTAAGGATTGCACTACATAATGAGATCCGTGCAAAACCGGTTCAAGGCTCCTTGCCCATGTAAAATGATTTTTTCTGTCCTAAGGATGGGGAGCCTTGTCTAGATCTGCACCACGAGGGTCTTGCTATGGCGGAGGGAAAGGGGCTGCCGTGCACAGGGAAGGTGCTGTGGAAGAACCCCAGCCTGAAGCTTTTGATGCTATGCTTATCACTGAAGACGCGAAGTCCTCTCCCTCCAGTAGCTGGCACATCACTTACACACTGATTTCTCCTTCAGCAGATGGACTGATTTTCCAAAAACCTAGCAGCAGACCTCTGGCTTTCTCAGTGCCCCAGTACACTTCTTCTAAACAAAAATTGCTTTGTTTAAGTTTAGCCTTGACTATTCATCTGTTTGTTTGTTCGTTCTTTGAAGCCCTCTTAAGTAGTGTTTGAGCCACTAAATTGCTGGTGATACTTGGTGAAAGCTGAAGATGTATGAGACAGTTGATCCAAAGACCACTTTAATAGGAAGAGTCTTTAGCTAGTTTATTTGTTCCACCCCTGCCTCCCATGTTTACCATGTGACATGGCACTGCCACTTTATTCCAAATCTCATCTAAATTTTCTTTATGAAGATCTCTCCTCTCCACTCTGTAGCCTGCCATTCACATTTCCACTGCTGAACAAGGATAGCTCTAAACAACTTTGTAGCTTCCCCCGCCAAGGAAAATTACCAGAGATTATATGAGGTCTAACAGACACTATTGCTTTTCTTTGAAAGTCATTCAAATCCTATGATGAACGGCATCAGTATGGTCGTAACTTTTACGGAATTATATGACCGTGAGGTATTTCATAGCTTCATAGTACTGATTTTTGCAACTCCTCTCTAAAAGGCCACACAGCAGAAATGCCATTTCACTGCTCATCTGTAACGCACAAACCCATCTGAAGCCTGGAATAGTTGTACACAGCAGCATAAATTGCACTGAACAGCTTATTTTCAGTAGATGATACATTTTACAAATGGTAGCAGCATTAGTGGACACTGCAGCAAAATGACTGCCTTGGATTGCAAGCTTATTCCTCTATGCTATCTGGAAGGGTTAAAGCTTAGGTTTAATGGCAACTTCAGGCTTGATCCCTGTGACAGCTGCTCATCCTATTGGAAGACATAGCCTTAAAGAAATACCCTTCCTGGGTCTTAACACTTCAATTACGTATTTTGTTCTTCCGACATATTCTGTCAGAGCAGTGCAATATTCATCCATCCCCAGCAGAGAACTTTAATAACACCATGGGAATCTCAATATACAAAATCACTGCTGTTTTTTTTCACACACACAGGGCATTTTTGTGATTTAGATTTCCTCCTTTTTTATAGAAGTAGTCATCAAAAGGCTATTATTGCTATGAAGATTGCAAAATACTGCTAGGAACAAAATTTTGTAACTTCGTCTCAGAGGCTTCTCTAACAGGAAATAAAATTGCTGATTGATTTCCCTGACTCTGAGAGAGAACAGACACCTTTTTAGTTCACTGGCCTATCAAGGACAAAGAATTCGAGGTGGCTGCCAGTACCAAAAATAGCCATATGGGAATGTATTTTTTTTTCATAAATGAAACTTAGGTGTACTCAGATTAGGCATAATACAAATAGGTCTATTTAATCCATTTTAGTAGATCCTATGATCCATGAGGAGCTTTGTCCTTCTGTTGAATCATTTCAGTTTCCCACACTTGCTAATATTTTGTCATGCATCTTTCACTTTTAACTTCCCCAGTACTTGCAGTCCGAAGGACACCCTCTATTTCTCAAACGGCAAAACAAAATCCGGGAGCCCTGGGGTGCGTGTATGAGAGCTGGCTCTGGGAGGACTCCCTCCTCTACATGTGTGGCTGCATTGGGGCCTGCCTGAACTGTCGCGGTCCAGACACTCAACCAGTGCTTTGGGGGGAGCCAGTTCTCATATCCCTTGGCATCTTAAAAATATTGCTATAACTGTGTCCCTTTTTGATGGGGCGCAACATGTTTGTCACAGATACGAAAAGACAGAAAGTTTTGATGTGTGATTAACGTCTCTGCTGTGAAGTGACCCAGACTCAGTATGTTTCATTTACCAGCACAGAGCCCAGCAGTTGGTACACCAGGAGTTAAGCCACATCTTGGAGGAATATTGTCACCCTGGGCACACATTCTGTCTTGCAACATAACAATAAGTCTGTTTTTCTTTCACATCAGTAATCTTTGTGAGGTGAGTTCTTACTACTTAAGAAATAAAAAATTGTCTGTTATGTCTGGATGGCCCCCTAAAGTGCAGTTAAAGTGCCATGAAACAACCACAGAAATCTGTATTTTTTGCAATTAGGCATTGTCACCTTACAACAAGATCAAGATTTTATCTCAAAGATCGTTATTTATGTTCAAGAAAGACTACCTTAAATCAGAGTACATGCAGAGAAGAACTCTTGAAGGTGATTATAAGATTCAAGTATTTATATTTTGCAAAGAGATAAAAAGAATCTGTTGAGAAGGGATTTTGGGGAGCTTTTTACAGATGTATTACTGAGGAGGGAAAGAAAGAACCATTTATGCAGGGGATTTACAGAGGAAAAACATCAAGATATTTTTAATTAATTCTGGTCAAAGGTAGATTAGAAATTAGATGAAGTTTTCTAAGTATTCAAGTAGCAATATTGCTATAAGTTTCTTTCTAACAGCAGATCCGAGGGCCAGGTACCTAAATCTTTTTAAGATGATGCCCTAGAGAGAGGCAGTCAAGTTAGAATCCAAAACTGCAAGTTTGGATAGAGCACACAGAGTCACGCAAAACTGCATTTGTCAGACATTTTTTATTAGCACTTCCTCCTGCAGCATGAAAGCCAAGTAAACTAAGCAAAAACACCTGCCTTATTTCAGTTAAATGGTTAAATCTGAATTAAGTATTGCTTTGAGCCAAATACTGAAATGAAAACACAGCATCTTTTCAATATACTTGGACGAAAAAGCTTCTTGTGGAAAAAAAGCTTTTTCAATTATCTGTAAACATGTGCTCTTAATGGTAAATCTGTTTTTTTTTTTTCTTTTTAGTCAGGCAGTCCTTAATTAGTCTATCATGCTATACAGCTGAGAAATCATCTCTTGAATTTGTTTGGAGACCTACAATGTCAGTTTTCGGCAATTTTTCATGGTGCTCTGCATACATAAGGGCCAGAAATGTGTCTATGTTCAGATGGAGAAAGGGCATTTTTCATTTTGAAACGAAAATAGTGTTCAAATATGTTATTTAAATGGCAAGTGTATTTCAGAAAAATACTAGTATTACTGAAAATTAATTTTAATCTAGGTGATTTCCATGTTTTACATATTAACTCAAAATATTGCATACAGTCATACAGAAATTTATTTATTGTGCATTTTTATATATTATTTTCGCTTACCTTTCAGCCCCTGGTACACTATGAATAAACCCTCACAAAAGTATGCAGGTGGCAAAACACTGAACACATTTCATTCTGCTTGTAATATCACAGAGGTTTCTTATACATTTTCTTTTCATTTTATTTCTGAGAAGTTGAGTTGATGGCTACTAAAATCCTTCTGTAGGGAAGTGTCTACAGTATTAATTATATAGAGTATTATATACAATATAAAGTATATTGTATATAGAGAATGTATATTATAGAGAGAGTATTATATATAACACTATAGAGTCTGTAGTATATTAATAGTTCTGTTTGGTGAGAAAACCAGAATTACTATGACTCTGTTCTTTTAAAGTTAGCAATATACTCAATATATGTAAGACAAAAAAAAAATTAAACACTGAAATCCTACATCATTTGCTTCACTTCATTGAACATGCTGTCTCTAAGCAAGTAGTCGATATCGGGGAACTCCTTTTTTTCTTACTCCCCTTCTCTTTTTTTCTTTTTTCTTTTTAATTTCAGTAAGAATTTCCTTTGGTTAATGTTTCTTTTCTTTGAAAGCTACTCTTAAACTGAAGCACTCTTTATCTAGGCATAACTGTACTTCACAGCCCTATAGAATGGAGTTCACAGGTGCTTTGGTATGGCAGTGAAGGACAAATCTCTGGTATGGCTGAACTTGTGCAGGTGTTTCCCACTGACCAGGATAAGGTGGGGGCTTGCATAGGATATTGCTTTAAATGCCTCTGCAGTCAAAACACAGTGTAAAATATTGCCATAAAAATGCCAGTTTACTAGTGTTGTGACAGGCTGTAGACTCCATCGTTTTCCCTCCACAAACTAACGATTTCTGCATGGAGAGAAATTAGAATAAAAAAAAAGCAAGAGTAAAACTATGAATACCCTGACCTGGGAGACACTTAAAGGTTAATAGCATTTTGATGCAGCTTTGGCTTGTTTGCAGAGATGCCTCTGTTTTCTTTCCTCATGTCATTTGTTGGGTGAACTGTAATGCAGATATTGTAATGAATTACTGCAGGCACAATACAGTGAGATTAATTTATGGATATATAAAACAAGACAAAAATCAGACTCTCCTCTAGCAAGAAAAAAATCTTTTTATGATTCTTTTTTCCTTAATTAATTTACACTGATGGGAAATCACTCAAAACTATTATAAAATAAGCTTGCACAGATAGGTATGGTGTGTAATTCATTTCCAAGGTGGTACATCCATTCATACACACAAGAGGAGCTCATTTGATTGATCTTACCACACCCTGTCTCGTGTGCAGACCAGTCAGTGTGGGGTAGTTCTGGGCAATGCTTTTGTACTTAATGTTTTCAGGACTGTTCCTCCCCAAAGCCCAAATGTTGCCCCTGGTTCTCTTACAGAGTGGAGCACTATCCTCAGGAACCCTGGATCAATGTACTCATTGAAATGTGTGACAGACAGTTTGTCTGGTTGTTAGTTCTTAATTAAAGGGAGATATGAGGTGAGCCTTGCTTCTGCCTTGTCCAAGGGTCAGCCAGCTATACTCCTTCTATATTGCTTAGCCTTTCATTACTCAGAACACAGAAGATCTCACGTGCATTGTTGTTGATACTAGAGGGAATACATGGGATGCTCTTTGAAAATCTGAAAAAATATGACCTTTGGTGGAACAGTTCCATTTCCTAGACATATACCTGTGTAAAATCTTGTTGATTATCATCTTCACCCATTTGGCCTGGGGATCTAAACAGATCTGCTGGTTGTTCTTCAATGTTGCTCTGCAATGGAAGGAAAATTTCAATTAATGTTGGTGCCTGAGCAGGTCATAGGAGAAGGCAGACAGGCCTTTGGGTTTTATGCTCAAGGGCTACCAACTTTTCAGCACTCATGAGACATACTTTCTATTGCCTGCTACGTCTACTTACATGATTTCCACTGTGTGGCAGTGCGGGCCCTTAGGAATGATTTCTATGTTGGCCACATGCTTCGGTGACATTAATCCTTTGGCCGTCTGGATGCAGTGACAGCGCAGCTCTGCTGTGAGCATCATCTCTGCAAGGAAAGGAGAGTGTGCTTCTTGTGCCTGAAACTCAACCCAACTAACAGTCAAAAAAAATGAATAAAGAATGCAGAAAGGATAGAAAGTTGATGCTTCAGTGTGTAAATCAGTTGCTAACTGTTTATGGGTTTAAGGTAGTATCTTCACTGAGGGAGAACAATGTATCTGAGATCCACAGATTTTATGCTCTTAAAAATTTTAGGCTGCAGTTGCAACCTAATTATCTCAGGATTCCACAACATCAAGTGCAGTGAAAGAGTACTGGAACTACCAGAAGTGTAGGAGACCTTTTTATGAGAGGAGGGAAAAGCCAGCTGAAGAGCCAGATAACCACCCCCCATGAATACCTCCTGGAGGTGAAATCTGTTTTGGCCAAAAGTCAATACCAGTCCTTGGTGTAAAAGAGCCATTCAGCATAGAAGCTTGATCAAGATACTAGAGAAGTATCTTGTACTGGAGAAGTACCGGAGTGTGGGGGCCTCTGAAGAATCCGCTCTGTGCAAGTACAAGAAACCTAATAAGAAACCTAATAAGCCTTAGGGTGGGGTTTAATTGGATTATGCCGCATACTGTATGACATGCAAGACCAAGAACTAGATTTGCTACTGCCTGACAGCCCTTTCAGACCCATGATTCCCTAGTGAAGCAAAAAGTTTAATCCCAGTTTTAGAGACCGAGCAGAGAGGTGAAGTAAATTACCTAAGATTACAAACCAGGAAATTCATGCCTTTCCCAACTCCAACCACTACACTACCACTGAGATACTGGGATATCTTTCTGGCTTCAGGTCAGTATAGCACAGGTTAAAGTATACAGTGACAACATTGTTCCTACAAAAACAATCTGCATCTTTGGCTTGAAATTCCTTGTAGTTGAACTATGGAATATATATGAATATATGGAATGTATGTGAAAGGAGACATTCACTGCTGTTCAAGGCAACCTCAACAAGTAGCAAAGATAGGGTCCAGATAACTGGATGCAGGAGGTTCTTATTAAAATGACTAAAACCCCAGAAGCTGAAATTCCAGTCTGTCCATCAGTCCTCTGTTATTGTGGATAGTCTTGATAACTCTTTATACTAAACTGCAACTGTGCATCCCAGGACTCTGAGCCATGTCCAGCATTCACACTCCTTTTAGAGGACAGGCTTTGGAGAAGTGCAATATGGATCGAGCAAATAAAACAAAACCTTTTACCTTGTTTTATATCTCGATGTGATCATCCACCTGTTTCCTTCTATATTCATTTTTCTGTTCAATTAAAGCTACTTATGGTTCTTCTGGTAGAGCAACACCTCCCTCCCCATCTGACAGAAATCTGAATCAAATGCATTTTGACGTGAAGAACTGGCAAATGCAGAGCATCACTCTATAGCCGCATCGCCTTAACTAAACTTTTCCATTTTTACGTAGAGTCTGCCTTCTGCAGACTCTGCAGAGGAAAAGCTTCCCGAAGGATGCAACAGCCTTTACTGCAGGGGAGTCCGAAGCAGTGTCCTTCTCTCCAGTGTCGATTTTTGAGACTGGCCATGGCGTGTCCCAGCTGTGTTCTGTCCCAGGAAAGACTGACATATGTGTCACCCCAAAGTGAAACTAGGCTACAGCTGGAGCATACATCCAAATGATGCATAAGCTTGGCAGCACTACAGATGTTTAAACTCGGCATGCTTTCTGCCTGCAAGATGCTTCTGGGACTTTCCCAGCAGATTTTTTGATTGATTGATTTTTTTTTTTTTACCCTGGTGCTTCTCAGAAAGGAGCTCTAACAGATGGCTGTTGAGTAGAAGCAGATAAACTCAAAACTAAGCTTTCATCTGCAGGCACTCGTACCAGAGAAGCACCCTGAAAAGTGGTAGCAATGCAACATGCTGCTGTTACTGCAGGCTATTCTGTTTCAGGTCCTGCTTCTAATCTAATTTTGATCAGTTATGTAAATGACAAGTTCATCTAGGTCAGTGAATCTCCACTAGCAGAAGACCAATAGATGTCAAGAAACAGGCCCGTGAATACAGTCCGTGGATATGTTTTCCTTAACCTGCTGTCTCAAACATGGTGTGAATATGGAAGTCTTGCACACTTTGAAAACCTTCTGTTTAGTTTGATCATATTGCACGCAAATTGAAATATGAAGGAAAATAAATCAAAATTTCTTACCAGGAAAGAAGCCCATAAAAGCAAGAATCAGGAGAGTACTTGCAATCTTGCTATCCATGACTGCCCTCTGTGCCTTCTTACTGTGAACTGGAAACAAACTCAACTCTGTCTCCAGACCCACATGGGATTGCTGACACTGTTACACTCTGAAATTTGCTTCTCAAGCACATGCACATGCAAAGGGAATTACTTCTCACTCTTGTCTTTTTCCACAACCAAACAAATAGTGGGGAAACCTGTGGTGAAACAGACTGTGCTAGCACACCTGTTACCTGGCCGCATGTCAGAGCCACTGTGCTCGCTCTGTCTTTTTCTAGCTGCCAAGAAAACAGACAAATTCTCAGAGAGAATGAGCAGTGAAAGATGTTCAGCATCACTTCTCGTTAGCATTTCTGTCTCACTGCTTGCTTCATTCTGTCTGAGTGCTGAAATACAAACCAGAATCAAGCTGCTGGTAAACAATTAGTAGATAGCTAATTTATTAAAATGCAATTAATTGGAAAAAAAGCATTATTTGGGTAGGATGTGGAAGTAAGAGGATTATCAGATTAAGATATTGATGTTCAGTAGTGTCTTAAGTCTGTGTTAGGCATTCAGTCCTGCGGGTCTTCTGTCTTTGCATGACCAGGGAAGTATTCAGACATTAGGACCACCGTGCAGTTAGATGCTGATCCAACACAGAATGAGCCATTTCTGCCCGGAAAACTTGGAACCATTTGTAAGGCAAGAGACAACAGATTTCTGTTTATATTAATGGACTAAATAAGGCTTAAATCTTGTCTTGAGCAACATCAAGAGATCATCCAGAATATGTGATTATTAGCATGCTCCCTGGCACAGTTCTGGCCCATACCAAGTACTAAGTACCATGGTCCCAGCAGGGGACAGCGTGCCAGAGGCGCTTCCAAGCAGTCAGTGTGGATGTGGGCTCACTGCTGTTTGGAAAAAGCGAGTTTAGCTCTATGGCCAAGAACCATGTCATGCCTTGGGTTCACAGAACAGATCTTGACTTCTTGCATTTACTCACACTGTATTAAAAAAAAAAAAGTAAAAATGATGATTTTAAGAAGACGTGGCTTTTCAACACCTCTGAATAGGAGGCACTGTTGGAAAAAATGCTGAACTTGATCATTTTAGGCAGTAAGGAAATCAGCACCCATTCATTTAAATGAGAACCAGTAATGCTTGAATCAGGATTGTTATGCAATCACACACACGAAAGCTGTGGAAATGCTGGAAACAGCCACCATCTTCCCATGAACCGTTCTGTGCCCTTAGTCCTCCTCAGTGTTGCTGTGTTCTTAGTCCAATATGATTTAATTCCTTCTTGCAAGTCCCTTTGGATTTCTGGTTAATTTGGGCATTTGCAAATTGTTTGTGGAATTCAGTGCAAAGAGACTGTCTCTTATTATGCTTTTGCAGTTAACCCTTTTGACTGCCTCTCTCTCTTTTTCCAAATCTCTTATTTCCAAAACTTTCTTTATGTCTCTCTGAGAGGAAATGCATGCATTTGCCATATGGCTGGCTACTGTCTCCTGGTCTATGACTTGGCATGTTTACTATATACTGCTTTCAATCCCAATCCAGTCCTGCTTTCCGTTAAAAAGAATTGCTGGTGATTTTAATATGCTTCAAATTCCGTGTTCACAGAAAATTCCTGAAATTGGAGCACTCAGCTCTATCTGGTGAATGTATGAACATTTTGCATCGTTATGCAAGGGAATCATAGCTCAGAAAATGGAGAGATGCGTGTGGTGTTGTGTGTATATATGTATGTTGGCATATTGTGAAATTGGTAATTTCACGAAATGACTAACATGATAATTTTAGAAAATGAAAACAATAGACAAAAATATTATGAAATACCTAATGTCCAGCATTTTGAGCTATTGAGTTAAAATTATGAGTAAGAACATTTTTTTTCAACAACATGCATGTAGAAATTCGTTTGTTTTCAAAACCATACAGTAATGCGTGTCAGTCTACAAATCTAAGCTTATTTTCACAAATGAGGCTATTTCTTGGAGCAGTGGAAAATTTTAGGGTGGTTTTTTTGCAAAATGATTAGTTGCAGAGCTTTGGTACCCAGAAGTGTTGCAGATGCCTGGCATTGAAGATGATCTCCTTGAATTCTTGAAGGGGTAACTCTGACTGAAGTGACACAACAGATGCATAGCAAATAGGACTCTGAAGGAGAAGAGCAATCTTTCTCTTTTGTTCTCTATCAAAAGGGGAAAAATAGTCTAAGAAAAGAAAAAAGAAAAATGTAAAAAGGAAACAGTTTACTAGAATAAGTGTTCAGATAGAAAATGTTCTTAGGGAAAGCAGCAAATAACTCCAGCCTTGGCCATGTGAGAGGAACCGAGCACTAACAGGGAAACTGAATATTTCTGTCCAAGAAATAGTATCATGGTCATTTGGAAGCTGCTTATTTTCTGTACTGCCAGGATATGACTGTGCCAGTAATGCTAATCATTTCATGAAAAGCTTTTAGCTTCTAGGTAATTCAAGTTACAACCAAATGGAATAGCCAGTTGTATCACAGAATATCTGTTATTCCAGTCAGTTTATGATTACATAGTACGTAGTTTGTCAAGGTAGATATATATGCATACACAGGTGTATAAGTATATATAGCTGTCATATTGTAAAATTCACACAGCGAAATTTTGTACATTTCTTTGTATACATATGTGTGAGTTCCACCTCTGCCCCCAATTCTCTGTTGATTTGCTTTTGCCCTGTATCTTTGTCCAGCATACCTTCTTCACTATCCCCTAACCTCCTATCTCTTCCAGTCTTGCAAACATGAATGAATTGGATTTAGTATTCTTCTCAGATGCAGAATATCTTCTTAACCCTGTTGCACCCTAACTAATGGCACTCATCTGATGTATAAGTCAGGCAGAATAAATTCTTGACCCTGGGACAGGTTTTAAATGTAGTAAGACTATCTGAAATTGTGGCACTGCAGAAGGAAAAACTATTTTATACCACCTCAAGAAGTTGGCAAAAGTCTCTGTGTCCGCACCTAGAAAACATGACATCTAGCACCATAAGATAATCTGGCTTTCCAGGTGAAGAGGAAGAAAGGAACAAGGACAGTACTTTTCCACAAACATTTGCTTTTCTGTGAATTTTCTCAAACAAAACCTAAACTGTATTAAGAAGATATGCAGTTATAGATATGCCATCTTTTTTCAGTTGTCACAGAAGAACACTATATGACTTATATTGACAGTGAGGCTGGGATACAGTTATATCTTCATTTATTTTCCTTTTGAAATTCCATGCATGAACAGCAGCTGAGTTTGCTATCATTAAATAAATACGATGTATATCATAGTTGAGCTAAAATTGTTTGTATAAAATACATGAAGCATCATTAAAAAACAACAGAGATAGAGAATCTATCTTTTTAAATGGTGCCTGGGCTCCTTGTTAGATCTGAACAATTTTTTTTGTACAAATGAATTACAGTTTTCATTTGGAAACTGTCATGGTTTCTTCCTGCAGTAGAGACTCTTGTTCCTTCCCACTCAGCAAAATATATTTGTCTTTAAGCATGGCTCCAATATAAGTTAAATTGCAAGTTCCTGCAATTTTTGAAGGCCTCCTTTGATTCAATGTATCCATCCCACATACGTGGATTTTACATACGCAAATTAAGGGTTTAAATTATGGACCTCTGCATCTAAAAGCGTTTATGTTCAGCACAAACTGTCTCAGCACGTCACAAAAAACTAGATGGCTCCTCTGCCTAAAAATCTTTATGTAAACACGTAGGTTACTGCTTCCCTGCCTCCTGGACAACCAAATTTACACAGGCACACCTATCCATTATAACATGAAATTAACTGGAAAAAAACCCTGTATTTTTCAACAAGTAAATATTTTTATTGCATTGGATTTCATTACATTGTCTTTATATAAGTCAACCTTTTAAAATAAATATATTTAAAGCAGAATAAGGTAAATGACTTACTCTACATAAATTATGACAGTATGTCATACAGGTAAGACATAAAATGTCTAAGCCTCTTCAGAACATTACTGCTCTTTTACATCTTGTATATAAATACCAAACAACGACCAACACGTTTAACTAAAAAATTCTTCTTAGAAACAACAAAAAATTCCCTAAACAAAGCAGCCATGCAACCCTGCAATTTCATGGAAATTCCTCAACTGGTAAGCAGAGAATAGCCTGAGCTCTCTGTGATTTCATTGCACAGCATTGTGTGCAGCAGGATCCTAGTCATTGCATGGAAAGGTTAGGAAATTATAGTGGGAGAAAAAAAACCTTAGCAAAGCATTCTGAGCCCAGGACTCATTTAAGCAACTACAGCAACACATTTAGCCTGTTGGCACGTTAGTATGCTTGCTATAATCAGCTGTTATTTTGGTTATTCATCCTGAATGAGCAGTGAAATGCAAAGTGCCCAGCAGCCCTCAGAACAACAACATTGCCCATTCCAACCTGTACATATCAAATGGTGTGAACAGGGAAGTCGTTTATACAGTGGGCCTCAGAGTGGAGTCATCTTCCTTTTTATACTACTGCTATCTATAAGAACTTTGCAAAAAGTTTTGGAGGAAAAGACCTTGCACAAAGGTGGGATGACTTCTCTTATAATAAAAACGGTAACAAAATCCTAGTGAAGCATATACTTGATTATCAAATGGATCACTCACTTTAGCTGAGTCAATAAATACATCTATAAAATAGGCAATAATAAATACAAGAGGAAGGGAGCAGTGCAAAGATAGAACAGCTGCCTACAAGTTCATCAAAAGCAGAGACTTCGTCTGTTAGTTCCTTCCAACATCCACTTCCCAGTATCTTCTTGAAAATACAGGCAGCTTCTTTAGAGTTGTTTCTTCTGCCCTCAGAGCTGCTTATGTGGACTGCAACAGACAGAATTCACATCATGTTTAAAGCAAATTAGGAAACTTTTTCCAAGGCTTTTTTACATGCCCAGATAACCAAGACCTTTTGCAAGCCCCATAAGAGATACATCTTCTGCAAAAGACAATAGTGATGGTAAAACTACGGCATTGGCTTTGTGTAGAAGGCAGAGGCAGCACTGGCCCTTGTGCCTGCAGGGGGCTTCGTATGTGATCAGAAATTTGATGGGGATGCTCTACCTGACCTTCTAAGCTTTCTCTCTCCAAACAAAGGTGCCAGGTCTTGAGTGGCAGGTCTTGGTTGTGACATAATGAAACAGAATTCCCATCTGATCAGCAGTGGGATGCGGCTCATTGGTCCAGCAGCACTGACTCTGCTTTCAAATCCAGCCTGTAGATAAGCTCAGCCTCTCAAAGCCTAACTTGTGGTAAAGCTGGTTGCTGCAGGGCACAAGTCCCCATCCCCGAGATCAGGAATGGCCCCGGCTCGCAGCAGATACCTGTTGAAGATCTTGGTGACGATGAGCTGGACCCAAGGTGACGAGGGGTTCACACAGACCGTCTGTCCCTGCTTCGTTGTCACTCTGGGACAAGCATAGGGAGGCAGTTAGGGGCCGCAGCGAGGCAGGAGCAGGGACGGGGATGGGAACAGACGCGGGATCAGGGCACTCACATCACTTCTGGCACAGCGCAGTGTGGCCCCTCGGGGACGAGCTCCACGCGGTCCAGGCGCCGCGGCGGGATCACCTCGCTCACGGTGTGCACGCAGCGGCAGCGCAGCTCCCCGGCGAGCGGCGCGCCTGCGGGAGGCACGGCCTGAGCCCCGACTGGTCCCCGCTGCCTCCCGCCACCTCCCGACCCTCCTGCACCTCCCGCTGTCCCCCAACCCCCCAGGGAATGGCTTGTGTGTCCCGCTCTTACCGTGGCAGAGCGCGGTGCAGGCGGTCAGGAGCAGGAGGAGGAGGGGGAAGCGCGGGCTCATGGCTGGAGCTGGCTGGTGCTGGAGGTGCTCAGGGAGCTGCATGTGCAGCCTCATCGCCTGCCGGGGCTTTTATCCCCTGGTCGGGAGCTGTCAGGCAAGAGAAACGTGATTCACGTCACGCATCTTTCACTCCTCCTTGCACATCCTTGGGTGGCCATTGCTCACTCATCTTCCTGTGTCCTGCCAGGTCTGCATGGCACGGCAGGGCACGTAGCAGCCTCCAGAACCCACCTACCAGGTCCTTGCAGCAGATAAACCCACTGCCAGGGCAGCAACGGGATAAATGTCCCCCCAAGGTGTTCAGTGGCGATGTAGAAGGGCGCAGGCATGTGGAGCAGTGCAAATGGGCTGTCCCCGGCCACTGTCCCTGCTCTAGTATTTCTGGATGGAGGAGTCTGGACAATCTGTTCCACTTACTAGGGAGCCCATCGGTGTCAGTAACCCAGAGATAGAAACTCATGCAGGAGTGGAATGGGTTTTACACACTAGATTTCAGGGATTAAGTTCATCTCAACCCAGGTTCTCTTAAAATTCTTAATTTTGCAAGATGCTAGTGGAGACTGAGGATGCTAGTGGAGACAAATGACTTGGAAATCTGGGGATACGTTTGTATGTAATTTTTTTGAAGCGGTCTCTTCCAAATGCACAATAATTTAATGAATGATTTAGTTCTTAACTGAAAAGTGAAGAGTTCTGAATACTATTTGGAGAGGTGAATGGTGGCAGGTGCTCCCAGTCTTCTGCAAAGGAAAGATCTCAAGGCTCAAATTCTGCTAGAGATTCCTGGGATGAATATGAAGAGCAGGTTGCAGCCCTAAGGTGGCACAGCAATCTCACCCCCCCTTCCTAGTCTTTGAATTTGGTGCATTGCTTCATTTCAGTCCTCTGGCTCTTCCTTGAATTGCTGTTGTCCTTTCTCACAACAATTTTCCTCTAAAATCTTTTTAAAGATTTAGTAGTTTTAATATTTTTCTTTAATCTGGAGAACAATAGACACTTCATTCCTTTTAAGTAGGGTGGTAGGAGGTGACTCCTCAGGCCTTTTTTTAGTGGTATGTCTGCAAACTCACAAACCAATTCTCTAATTGCAAAGCATTCCCAGGAGAGGGAAGATGAAAACAGCGAACACTATAACTTTATACTCCCAATTAGGTATTTGCGTTCATGCTGACCAGTTTGCCTGCCTTGAGTTAGTTAGCTGCCTTTTTTCCTTTTGGAGCTGTAATACAAACTCACTGTTCTGCTGTGCCCCACTTCACTTTCCCCTTGGGGAAGAACTGAACATCTTGTGTATTGCAAATGACCAAATCCAAGTATTATGGGGACGTAGTTTTCCAACTCAGCTTTCCTGTGCAGCTCTTTTCCTTGGTTATATGTGCATTACAACCTAGCAATCTCCTGGCAATAGCTCTAGATCCATTAGACAAACCATAGTGCACTGGAATATTCCTTGCTTTGACCACATTATAGGAAGTTACAGAAGTGCTTAACTACCCATGACGTGTAAATCTTGCAACTGGGGTTTGTGCAGTCCTCTCCAAAGTGCCTCCTCTCACTCTCCTTGGTCCACAAAAGGGTAGGGAGCAAACCGGTCATGTCTTCAGAAAGCCTTGCTTTCTGAAAGGATTATGGGATCTAGCCGAAATGATAAGCACTTCTAAGCACTGGCCTGCATGGTAGCCAGGACACTAAAATTCAGCTACAACCCTGCACGATCTTGTAGAACCGCCTTACAAAGTAACCTCTACCCAGAAGACAATGACCTTTTCATGCTGAAGTCCTGTTTCCCAGATAATAAGAATAGAAACTGAAGTAATATGGTCGGTGTCCCAGGTGAAAAGAGATCCTAATGACACAGCCTAGCTTTAAAATTTAAGAAGTGTAGTTTCTGTGTGAATTGTTTTCTGACATAGTTTTTTTTTTTTTTTCCCCTGTATTTCAGATATTTGGCAGGGCAGGGGAAAAAAATAAACATTTCCTGTCTTGGGACTGTTTATAAAATATGGCATTATGTGCTGGCTTTTGTTTATTTGGGGAAATCTTCCCTGTGGTATCAGTTTGTTTTTCTTTCTCAGCAATGTTCTTCACAAACAGGCTTTCTGGTTTGGAAAGCGCCAGCTTGACAGCAGCCTAGTTCTGAACTCAGGCCTTCTTCCGCTGAAGTTGAAGGCAAAGCCCTCCTGGGCTTCATGGGCAGCAAACCTGTTGCGTGAAGTCTGCATTGCGTTGACGTCAATGGCAAGACTTCCAATGACACAGATCAAGCCTCCTTTGCATCAATGACTTTGGGTGCCATTTTAAATAGACAAGAGTTTTAAGGACAATAGCAGCTGACCTTCTTAGCCCTTTATTGAGTGAATCACAGTGGGCAGCAGTAGCAGAGCTGCTAGGAGGTCACTGTAGACCTGTAGTACAGTAAGGGCCCTTTTCTCTGTTAGAGATGCCAGTGCCTTGTGTTAATCAGAAATCTGCACAGACAGGGCATATTTCATTAGGATAACTACTTCAATCTCAAGGAAATCTTTTAACAGGAATTTATATCCAGGGAATAGGATATTGCAGTATTAATTATTAGTTAGTTTGGTCACTAAACAGACAATTTGTAAAGGAGCAGTGTCAAACACTCTATACAGTGAGAATCTCTTCAAAGTGCTCTTCCTGTTGGTTTCAGGTTGTCATCTCCAGCAGTATATTCTTAATAATGTTACTTTCCTTTGCCTTCTCCAATGTCTGGAAAGCTAATTTCTAGTCTTTCTTGTCTCCGGCGGGAGATGTCATAAAAAGAAACCAAGAAGGCCTTAAAACAAATCAAGCTATCTTCAAAGAAAACTTCAACTGTGAACTGGGAAACATTCCATCTCTTTAATAAAATAACCATGTTCAAATTCTGGAGAATAGCTGTTAGTGGGATGTAGTTCTTAATCTGTTGAGGTCTCAGAGAATTGAGTAAACAATGTGCCCATGCTCTCCTGGGCCTTGTATCACCTCTTTGTGCCAGTACAGTTTTTCAAAGCAATTTTTAAATTATTCTTCTGCTAGGAAAAGTTTCATTCACATAACATGTGAATGAACACAGTGTGATTAAGTATGAATTCAGCAGATAAAGCTGTTAAGGTACACTTTTTTAAGGAACACCTGAGCATTGACCAGTTTAATGAACAATGAAATAATTTCAGTGATTTGTCGGGGAAGCAGCAAGTCACTGCACAAAGAAGCTCTACGATTGCTTCACCATGCCAAAAAGGAAATGTTCCTCAGTGACCAAGCATGGCTTGTTGACAAATGTGTAACATCTGCAGTACTTCTGGGAGTGAAGAAGCCTATTTCCTCAGTCATTTTCCTGTGGTGTAATTAAGCATTTCATCTGACTTTCACAAGAACATTTATGATGGTCTAGAATGTCTTAATTCTCTGACATATCAAAGTCCTCAAGTGATGGCCTGAACTTCAGTCCACCTTTGGGAACGTCATGTGCAAATAGCTGCCATATGAATTGAATGAGAAGAAACATGAGATATCTCGAAACTCAAAAAAATGACTCACTGCCCAAGAATATTGCTCAGGTACTTCTCTTTAGGCTGTATAAGGCCAACCCACCGTGTTTGGCCCTCCAGGGTATACTCAAAGAAATATTACCAGCAATATGTTTTAGAAAAAAATGACATGATGAAAAATTATTACATGAGCATCATTCATTCTGACTCTGTCCCTGTGAAACAAAAACACCTTGTGCAGTTTACAGTGGTGTTCATAACATCTTGGAACTATTCCTTTTTACTAGAACTAACAAAACAATCTTTAAAACACATAATAAATGCATAATTCGGAATCATCCTGAAGGAATGAACTCTTTGAAGGATTACGTCTGCATCACTCTGTGCAATAAGCTGACTTTTTCAGCTGGGATTAGTCCAACATCCTGGCCAGACTTTTCTGGCTATGAAGAGGTCCCACTCCCTTTTCTGCTTGACACATCCAGTGGGTAATACTTGGTCACTAGTTGCTGATGAGAGGTAGGAGAGGCTGACTGGTCCACTGGCTGTTAGCATGATGAAAAGGTGTAGGTATGTTACTCGCTTGCATGGGTAACTCCTGGAAGGAGGGAAAAGAAAGGGAGGCAGATGAGATACTTTACTCATACCACTCAATATGAATCAGGGAAGCCCAAGGAGGAGTAACTTTAAAAGCATTTATCTGTGAGGAGGTTAGTGTGTCAAAAGTTCTATCTGATGACCCAAAGAGAAAAAAAACACACGTTGTGACATAAGGAAAATGTGCAATCAGTGCAGCTCATCCTGTCACTCTGCACGGATGATAGGAAAGTTCTTCTTTTAGGATATTGAAAGTAGGCCTAGGAATGCTAAGTTCTTCCTAGACACTGGGCAGTTGTAACCTTTGCCTGTTCCCACTGAGTGAATACGATTGCTATGGCCGATTAAGATGCTTTGAGCAAAGCAGTATCGGGACTAATGAAACCTGATTTTCTATGGTTTTAGGGTTTGTGATTGGGTTCTCTGATGTCTAATTTGGTATACACACGAACCAAAGAACGTGTTGCAAATTCATGCAGTTAAAGCATCTATGATGTCTCTCCCTGGGCTATGGTTTCTCTGGTGTGCAGTCTCTTCTTTAGTGTGAGCTAAAACTTCAGGAAAATTCAAATATTTGATCCTAGGGCTTTGCGAAAAGCCAACATGTTCAACAGTCGTCAGAGTAAGAGAGGAATGCAAAACCATCCAGGCAGTTTCATTGTATAATAAGCCTTATTTCCTAAGAAAACCAGGATGGAGACTGCCAAACAGATGTGTAACTGGATTTCAGTAATGTCCCACTCTCAGGCAGTAATCCAACATGTTAGTCAGATTGGCAAAATAGATGTGCAGACAAAAAATCTCCGTTGTCCGCAGCAGCGACAGACTCGTAGCAAGAGTAGCATGAAAAGGGGCTACTGTCACCCCAAAGGGAGCATCTCTCTCGGGAGCTTTCAGATCTCCAGCCTTTCTTGACCCATGTAATTCTGCAGAACAGAGGAGCGTGCCTTTCTTTCCTGCTGCAGCACGTATTGGCTGAGCTGGATGGACACGCAGCCTGATTTGGGCTAAGGCAGTGCCTGGCTGTCCTGAACAGGAAAAGGAGCCTCTACCTTAAGCACTATAAAAACATAGGCCAAAGGAATCGTTCTTGTCCCAAAACAGTTTGCACAGTTGAATTGTGCCAAGCAGATACATACAGTGTAATGACCTGGGAAAGGCAGTGCCACCGTTGCCCACGGCAGACCCTGGGCTACATACACGCAGATCAGACTGTACGTCTGCAGGGTGGATTTTACAGGAACAGCTGGACGATTTGCAAAACATGTCCCATAAGCGTTTTAAATTCCCTGCTCCAGCAGTTTTGCTTTCCTTCCAGCCCTGGTCACATTTGTCATAGAGGCTGGGGATTTATTTAGTGAAACAATTGCAAAGGTTGGCGTGACCAGTACCTAGTTAGGAGAGAGGCACGAATTAGTGCCAGGTTAATCAGGCCTGTAATACTATCATCTCCTTTGCTATACCCACAGCTAGCCACCTCTTGCCTCTTGCTATGTCTTCATGAAAGATGTATTAAAAATATAGTGAAAAGAGCATGTTGCCATCCACAGTAGGCAAAATATAGAAGCGTGTTGGTAGGCAGAAAGAAGAGCGTCTTAGTTTTCAGATATCTGAGACAGACCCACAGCTTCACACTTAAACTTAAGTCCAAGTCGATTATCAGTGATGAAGCTCAGTTATCTGACCTGCTTGCAGTGCAGACCACAGTGTCCTGGCTTTGCTCATCCAAAACATCCCACGGACGCTCACTTGTCCCTGACCTACAGGCAGTCTGCAAAGAGACTTTGCAAGGGAGGCTGTGAAGCTAGTGCTGCCTCTCCAAGCGACAGTACTAGCTTGCTTTAAGTACAGCAAAGGGCTGTCAAGTTAAAATGTTTCCTCAGAACGTTGCCAAAGAAAAGGTTTAAGCTGTTTTGCCTCATGAAGTCCTTATTTCAAAAGGATTCAGAAACTGGCAGGGGAACCGAAGCTGATGTGCTGGAGTTTCTCCTTTGTTCTCATCAGTAGAGTCTCAAAGCGTATTTCCCACTTTGAGATCACTGCAGTACATAGCCCTGGTGCTTCTGCATTGCTTTCTCAAATCATTCATTTCACCCTGATCAGGACCAAACAAACAGGATCTGTCCTTGTGTTTGCATCCAGAGCTCCCATTGAGGTGAAGAAATAGTCAGGCTGGCAGTGCTGGGGTGGTGAAAGCAGAGTGATGGGCGCACCCTGCAAGCCATTAGCCTTGCTGAGAAGAAGCGATGTTGCAAGATGCATTAGTAAATGGAAACAGACACTAGGCATATTTTAGTCATTTTTTTATTTAAAAAACAACAACAAAAATAAACAAAAAGAAAACCACATATAAGTAAAACAAAAAGAAACTCCCTTAGTTATAAAATATACAGTTTTAATTTGTTTACTTGCTCTATTATTCTGAATTGAAAATGTTACTGTAATATATCTAATATTTAGTTGTACATATTGTTGAAAAAGAGGGTTTCTTTGACATATTGGAAAGATTATTGTGAGAAGTTTAATAAAAACTGCATGGTCTAACCAGGATTACATTTAATTACTAGCACTTACAGTGGTTTATATTTCCCCTTCTTTTTAAATTGCTACTAGACAGAAATATAAAGAGTGGGGGAAGGTACATGTATACAATTCTGAGCATGAATATGGACTATTATAAATAAACATCAGCATCACAGTGTTTTCACTTACATAAAAATCATGACATTATGCCATACAAAAAAATAAAAAAGACATAAGATGTCTAAGGCTGCAAGGAGCAAAACACATAAGCTCCATGAAAATTCAAACCCTAGAGGCAGCCAGTGCTGCATGTGCCAGGGTGCGCGGCAGGCACACGACGTGGAGGGCAAGCTGCGCTGCAAGCTTCAGTATTTACGTGTGAATTACGTCCCTCTGCAAGGGGGCCACACAGGAATGGATTTTCCTGATGATGTTGACGCCCCATCAGCGGTTTGAGCAAAGGCAGGGATTTCCCAGTGAGGGAATTCAGAACAACCACAGTGTCTTTCCTCCTGCACTTCTCTGCAAGTTCGTACTTGCTACATTAATACGACCCGTTAAATTGCGCTTTTGAGAAAATCACCCAACTAGAGATAGATCTTACATTGTACTTAAAATACTTAAATAAACACAACCAGATATTATTACATTAAGTAAATAGGGGGAACTCAAATGCAATGTAGATTAGAGAAGAAATTCTCTTGTCCCTTAAGTCCCCAGGTTGGACAGTCATCTTCTTTCCAGCCAGTTTCTTTTCCCCAGTTCAGTTGTTTCCTGTTCAGCTGAAAGCAGAAACCAGAGAGCACAGATCTTACCACCTACTCTCCTCAAGCTGCTTTTCAGCGGGAGGAAAGGGGCAGCCCCCTCCCCGGCTCTGTTGAGAGCTGCTGCCAGACACAGAGGCTCCCAGCACCAACCCCCAGCAGGTACCTCTTGAGGATCTTGCTGATGATGAGCTGGACCCAGGGCGCTGAGGGGTTCAGGCAGACCATCTGTCCCTGCTTCGTCGTTGCTCTGAGGTGAGTGGAGGGAGGCAATGAGGGGGCCGCAGCGAGGCAGGAGCGAGGACAGGGACAGGGTCAGGGCACTCACATCACTTCTGGCACAGCGCAGTGTGGCCCCTCAGGGACGAGCTCCACGCGGTCCAGGCGCCGCGGCGGGATCACCTCGCTCACGGTGTGCACGCAGCGGCAGCGCAGCTCCCCGGCGAGCGGCGCGCCTGCGGGAGGCACGGCCTGAGCCCCGACGGGTCCCCGCTGGAGGCGCTCTGGGAGCTGCATGTGCAGCCTCATCACCCGCCGGGGCTTTTATCCCCTGGTCGGGAGCTTTTGGGGAATTTCCCATGCACACAGTGGGGCAAGGTGGCCCCGCCTGGCCCAGCGGTCTCTGAGGCTGCAGCCGGCCAGGTGGGGCTCCCGGCAGCCGGATGGGTGTGAGGCCTCGCTGGCCTCTATCTCTTGGGGCTCTGTCCATTAGGAGAGGGGCAGGGAGCAGTGCCCTTGCCTGCTCCTCGTTGCCCCAAGAGTCTCCCAGAGAAGCTGCTTTTCTGGTGCGATGCAGGGCATTGCATGGCCCCAAGGGTCCTGGGCATCTGCATGAGGCCTTAGGAATATTCACACCACACCCTGGAAGGGAACAAGCCTGGGTCTCTTTTGTAGCCATCTTCACAGGAGCACTGATTTGGTTTCGATTAGTCTGGGTGCAGGGAGCTAAGCCAAAGGAGGATTTGGGCTCTGGAACCTGCCTTGCTGGCTAACCCCTTGCAACTGCTCACTCTAGCGCAGTGGGAATGCTTTCCCTGAGCACCCCTTTCTGCACCTTGCTTTTGGTAGGCAGGAGTATATTCTACTGCACCTCAGAAAAACTGAAAATTTCCCTACCTCAACTCCAGTCCTAGAAGCCACACAGCACACGTGGGTCAGTCTGCCTTCATGACAGTCAAACCATTTTGCTAGTTAAGCTTTGTCAAAAAAGCACCAAAAAAGCACTTTTCTAGGACCTTTTCCATATAATTAGAATTTTTCAGAGACTTTTTACTCTTAGGTTTAATTCAGATAAGGTCAAAACACTTCTTTCTATTTATCTTTGGTATGAAATACAATTTGGTATTTTTTTTTCTTTTACCAGTTGATCCTTTCTCTGTTCCCAAGATGCCCATTAAAATGAAAGGAGTTCACCAAAGCAGACAGACTGCTGTTGTGTTTGCCCAAGTAGCTTGCACAGCCCTAGAGCTTTTGTGTCAGTACTTTTGTCCCTTTGATTTGTAAAATACTGATGATGACTGTTGAGGAATTGAAGATTTGCAAGTGCTTTTCTAGATTTCCCTCCTCTCCAACTTTCTCCTTGTTATTTACTTAGCAAATATTTCTTTGATGTGGAATATATATCTCAAACTGTAAGAGATAATGCAAAATGACATAAAAATAGCTTTCGGTGAAGCTTTTATGGTTTGTGAAAAAGAGATGAGTTCATGAGTTAAAATGACTTCAGCCCAGTCCTGCTACAGTCACTATTTTGAACTGGCTTGACTTGATTTTCAGGGGAAAATGGATATAGTTTCCTTACAAGAAGACTGTTGACACAGAGGTAACTTCTTACACTTAAAGTATGTAGGTTATGCATACTCTTTTTAAAGAGAAAAGCCAAGTAATCATTGTATTGTAAGGACAGTAACAGAGCAGAACAAGAATTAACTGTAAGTAAAACTGTATTGATAGGGATGCTAGCATGGAAAGCAAATTAAGGTGATTATAGAATTACAGAGGATCACAGTACAAAAATCCCAGTAGAAGATTTACTATGTAAAAACAAAACTGAGCTTGGGACCTAAATGGTACTCAGAGGGTCTCATTCCTGAGCCCCGTCCTGTGCAGTGATCAGACAGCTCCTATGGCTGCTGACCCAGGAGTCCGTCAGGAGATCATTGGTGCAGGAAGAGTGTATGTCATAAGCAAGTGGTGATTGCTCCATGCAACCAGGAAATATTGAATGACTAACTTGCACACCATTCCAGTTGCCATGTGCTAGTGTCATCCTTTCAAGTTGCTGGTGTTCAGCTTGGTTTTAGAAGGAAATTACATGATCAAACTGTCTTTCTGCCTGCTGTCATTGCCCTCCTACCCCGAACTCCTCTCCTCCAACAGAGTTTGTATCTTTAGGCCATCTTCAGAAAGATTTGACAAAAAACCGTGGGTCTGAAGGATACAAATTTCCTTCAACTTTGTGGAGAGGCAGTGGTGAACAGAGGGAGAGAGAACCAAACCAGTGTTGCCAAAGAGAGCCTGCAGCGCAGGCTTTCTTTTCTGTCTGCCTTGCCAGCTGCTGATCCATAGGTTCCTGCCTGACAGCTACTGAGTAGTTTGGAGCTGGCCAGCTGCTGCACTGCCTCTTGTCCAGCTTATGAATTGAAGGTGGGGAAAAAAAAGCTCCAAATATTGGGGAAATATGGGATGGTTTCTATGAGAAATAGGGAGAAATGGAAATGTTGCATGAGCAGAAGTTGTCAACATAAAGAAGACCTGTAGGTCTCTTGGAGGACATAAAGATTTAGGGAGACTCCAAAGGGGATTATGGTGGGGAGAATAGTGGAAGCATTTATTTTTAAACCAGGGCCTATTTCCTTCTTGTGAGCCATATCACGTCATCTGTATTTTTTGTTTGTTTGTTATAAATTAATTAATTAGTTTGATTTAACTAGTTATTTATTTAATAGCATTATAATGAATATTCCATTGATGTATATCTGAAAGTGTGCATGAAGTAAATGCATCATGTAATTGGCTTCAGGCTTTGAGATAAAACCTTGTAGTAGAGGTGCCCCTTCAGACTTTATTTTTGCAGCTTGAATGACCCTTCTAAGTTGTATTTATACGAGCAGTAGACCCCAGGAGGTAGAGTTGTATATGTTTTCCTGAAACCAAAAAAAGAGCAGAACCATTGGTAGTGGTTGGAGCCAAGGAGAGGGAGGTGGCATTTTCTCCTTGAAAACTGGAGAGATTGCTAAGGGAAATGGTAGGAAACACAGCCTTTAAGAGCAGGAAACAGCCCTTGCAAGCTCAGCAGCAAAACTGAAGTTTAGGCTGTGGTTTAACCAAGAAGTAGGATGTGTCCCTGTGCAGCGAACTGAGGCAATAGACAATTAGGATGGTGCCCAAAGAAGCCAGTCCAGGTTGTTGAAGGTGACGTCAGAGGATTATTGCTCTGAATCAATACAGAGAGCACATCTGTTGGTTAAGCAACTGCCATTTGTACACAGTGATATCGCATATTATTCTTGGACAGTACATGTGAGTAAGGACAATTTACGTGGTGGTGCTTGGCTTTATGCTCCAATGACTGTTCACAATGCCTGAACAGGCAGAGCAATTCCATAGTGGGTACTGCTGGGGAAATTCCAGAAATCCGTGAGGTCTGAAGTGTGAGGCAGCTCTGGACACAGAACAGCAGTCAGCTATGCAGGAGAGGCTTGGGCTGAACTTAGCAGAAGCCAGAGAGGCCACAAACATGCGGAGATGCAGCACAGACCTTGACTCTGTGTGTTGGTATTCATACAAGCAGGCCTAGGATGCATGAAATGGAGGGCTCTGGGACTATCTCAGAAGCTAAGTGGGACTCTCTCAGAAGCTAAGACCATCTGAATGAGCAAGGCTTTTTATCCGGAGACTTCCCGATCCCCTCTGGCTACCTTTCGTGTGTGTGTGTGTGTGTGTGTGTGTGGAGGGGCACATTCTTCAGTCAAAGTGACTTCAGCAAACATGCTGAGCTTTATATGAGCTCTCTTTGATTCTCTTTTTTTTTCTGTCTGCTCCCCTCACCACCTCTGACAGTTTTCCTTGTGAAAGTAAAATAAAGAGGAGAGACAGAACAGTGTCAGTCATAGCACAGAAGGCTGAATTCTTCCCTGTCTTTTGCCATATCTCCTTTCACGTTGGCTCCATGTGGCTCATAGTTGTGCTTCAGCTAAGTTTAGGCTGGCTGTCTTTCGTGCTTGCTGTTTGTAACATAGCTATGGCAGAACTCCCTGAAGCCTGTATATTTGTCTAGTGCTGAGGAGTGATCAGCTGGGTTTACCACCCAGCTTGTATTGCTGCAGCTGTGGTCCTACCACACTGGCCTTAGGTCAGGTATTTCTATAGGAGCCGTTGTCTAAAATCCCTCAGCATCCTTAGCATGAGCCTAAGAGTTAAATGGAAAACTTTCTCGACTTAGTTAGGGTTTAAGGAAATACATGCAAAATATTACTAGGCACATAATTTAATCATCTTCCAGTTACCCAGTTGTTAATTCTTTAAACACAGGAAGTGGTGCCTTTGCTTTGTTGCACATGATGGCTAGTTGCCTTCCATGGCAAGCATTTGCTTTGGCATCTATAGTGAAAGCACGTGTTCCTTGGTGGCAGGCCCAGAAGGGCTAAAAGCCAGTTGGACGAGGCATGTGCAGCATTCATTTCAGCAAGTGAGGCCTTCCTGATTTGCACAAAGAAGAGTTTGGTGGATATGTCACAGATACATTTCTTAGGTCATATTTTTAACATCACCTTGAACCCTCTTGATATGGACAATCTCAGAAGAAGCAGGGATGTTTCCTAGCATGCCAGGTGTTGCCTCCTCTTCTTTGAGGTATGTCAAACCACTACCGCTTACAAGTCCCTGCAGTTGGTGGACATAGCCTGATGATATCTCTTATTATCATCATTTTCGAATTGTGTTTCTACTCACTACTAGTATTATGATGATATCCCCTCATAATCCTCCTGTGCATCAGGCTCCATGATGAGGTACAAACACATAATAATCTTTGCTTCCAGAGAGCCAATGCTGTGGCTTTTGAGGATTTGAATTTTGGCTACTGGAGTTTGTAACTACACTAAAGCATCATCCTACAGATTTGTGAAAATTACATTTTATATCTATTTTGAATTTTCCACATGTTTTAGTTCCTTGAATTTGCTAGATTGAACTGTTCCCAGCTCACATTCCTTTGTAAATAATGCCCAAATGTACAAGAAATATAAATGTTCTGTCATTCAACTCATGTAGCAAAGCATCTTAGCTTTTGACATCTTAGCATGTGACACAATTGTTGTATGCTTGTGTTTCTATAATACCTTTTTAGATATTAGCATTTACATTCAAAACGGATAACTATAGCAAGCAGTGGTCAGCTTTTTCTTGCCTAGCAATAATCTTAAGTCCTTAGCTCTTTTCTCCCCAGCAGTTTGAGATTTTCCTTGACCTATGCTCTGTGGTGAAAAAGACAGCATGCACAAACACACTGTTAATAGCTGCAAAGG